CTGGGGAGCCAAATTCTGAGGCATAATTGTCTTTTTTTTTTTAAACAACAAAGCACGGAAATAAGCAACTCAATTGTAGCCTTGCTGTCCCTAGAAATTATTGGGACGGGGCGGGGCGGTGTGAGGCAGGGGAGGTGGGGTTAAGGCAGTGGTGGGTCTATGATCAACTGGTCAAGCCGTTTGCCTCGTGCTCTGAAGGTCGTACGTTCCTTCAACAGGGTGCGTCGTTTCGTTTATGGGTGCAGTTTTTAAAGAAAGATCCTGGCTGGAACTATGGAATACTTAATAGCCGTTTTTCAGAGAGAGAGAGAGAGAGAGAGAGCGAGAGAGAGAGAGCGAGAGAGAGAGAGAGAGAGAGAGAGAGAGGTGGAGAGGGAGAGAGAGAGAGAGAGGTGGAGAGGGAGAGAGAGACCGAGCCACACGGGGGAAAAAACCTAGTGCTATGAAGTCGGTCCTGTCTATGCTGAACCTTTCAACCTTTTTATTCTGTCTGGCTTTTGAATGTTGAGAAAAGGAATAAAATATGGGCGATTTAATGGCCTAGTAGAGTAAACACAAGAGAGGTTGAACAGAAATACAGACACACAAAAAAGAGACAATGAAGAATAGGAAACAGAGTATTTATTCGATAATATAAAACACCGCTCCACATGGACAGCTGGGTTTGAAAATACATTCGAAAACAAACCCCTGAAGGAAACTGCAGTAGGCTTGTTCTAGGGCCCTTTTGTGGCGAAAACAAGAATAGACCCACTGCCTGCCCAAAAGCATGTCGTAAGTGTCGACTAATTGGGAGCTTCCTTTGAAGTGGGATTGCATCTGCCTGAGAGGCAAGAAACCAACAGTCTGCATACAAATGAGTCAGATCTGTAAAACGGATTCACAGGCAACACTCAAGTTATGGAACACGACTGCAGTCCAGAAGTGGGTGAACAACCAGAACTTTCCGCCAGAGTTTACAGCTGGTGAACGCGAAAAAGAAGGGGGGAAAAAGTTACCATAGTGAAGCGCACCCTCCATTTAGAGGCGACATGTTCGATTCCCACCTCGGTAATTACAGCTTAAGATTTTTATGTTGTCTAGTATTTATTTCTATCTTTCTATTTTGTTCTATGAGTGCCGATCATTACATTGTCTGTTTATTATATATGTAAACAAATTGGTGAACATGAAATGGGATGAACTCAAGACAGGCGAAGAAATAAAATTGCTGGAGAATCCCTGATGTCAATGGCTATGAGAAAATGAAGATGGCAATATTCTGGACACATCTTGATGAGGAGACAGAAAATCAGCCACAGTTGGACACAAGTGCACTACAGAAACGAGGACGACAAAGGGAAAACTCCAAGACAAATGTTGTTAAGAGAGATGAAGTATGTGTTGGACTAATAATATAAAAAGGTTGACTGCGTGGTCTTGAGGTATTGTGTCCGCCCCGTGTGCTAGAGGTTCCGAGTTCAATCCTAGGTAAGGGCTGGAATTTTTTCACGTGGACTTCCAGTAATGGATTGTGAGTCGGACGCCCGTGTGTATTGTTGAACACGTAAAAAAATCCCTTGGCAGTTGGATATCGAAAATAATAGCCTAACGACGTTGTCCGAGCAAAATTTAGAGTTAAAATCTACTCAGAATATTTTAGGATCCTCGCTGGTGCTACGGAGGGCGTGCACTGAGCTGAGCTACTCCGGACTCCAACAAGTTAGAAGTAGTGAAAGGTAAAGCTTTTAGGTGTATAGGGCATATAGGGCTAGAACTATATTTTATAGACCAGTCGGCACAAGATGGGTGATGTGGTCAGCATCACGCCGCCCGCCTTTACTTCCCGGGACTGCACCTGGTACCCACCCAAGTCTGGTTCTACCTGGAAGCCAAGGTCATTTTTGAGAAATGTCCGGCTCTACCAGGGAGTGAACCCACGACCGTCCGATCCGCACGCGAGTGTCTAGCCGCTACGCCACGGCGACTCCCTGTTAGAAGTAGAACATAGCACTTATGGGTTACTATCTGTGTGCCATGATCTTGATCCGTTGTTCAAACCTCAAACCTCATGATGTCGACAGCACTGGACATGACACACCGGAATATAGGACTGGACAGCGAGCACCGAGTCAGGTATGAAGGCCTAAGGTGCCTAAAACCTATGTTCGGGAACCCCTGGCCACGACTATCCCCCCTACTTGTGTTGGTGACAGACCACTAGACATCCCGCCCTAACACTTCTGTTTCCTTTGCATCAAATCAACATTTGATCGCTCCTAGTAATAAAACAGTCAGAGGTTGCCCACAATGTCATCGGGATCATGATATTGTGTTTGGACTGAAACGCGACAGGTTATCTGGTGTATATCGGTGTAAGCGTAAGCCAGATTGGCTCATAAAGAATCGTATTTGCTCATCTGTCGACGGCGCCAGCTGTACCCAGCGTGAGTTTGGCTATCTCAGGGTTAAAAGTCAGGCAGTGGTGGCATGTTTAATACTGCGTGTTCGCGTTATTTCATGTCTGTATACCTGTCCACATATTGCCTCATTACATATTACATCACCATCACAATCCTGATATGCTGTTTTACGTCGTAAATGGCTCGCAGTTTATACATTTAGACTCGGTATACGTCCACTTTTAAATAGACTAACTTGGTATCCGTACTGTTTAGATACGAAAACTTGTGCTTGGTATACGTCCTCTATTTGGAATACGACTCGCCTGCTAGAACTTATATAGGTCAAAATGAGTAAAGACTAAGAAGGGCGCACTCTCAACTTCATGAATCAAGGAAATGTTTGCCAACTAGATAGATGTCAAAAACTCTGCAGAGATGTACCACCCCAGTAAAGCCGAAATAAGCTGTTGTAGGATCGTCTGGAATGATCAGACATTGTACTATTTCCCAAGCATCCTCAGGAAAATGCAGAAGCAAAGTTATCTGGAACACAATTTTAGTAAAAGTCAAACCTGATGAGCCTTAACCATGTCATGTTAGGAAAGGAGACAGAAAAAGAAAAGAGAAAAATAAACACATTTTTTTTTTTAGGACGGGTTAACACTTCTCCCTTTATTTGTGATAGGGAAATTTGTTTGGTATACATCCTGTTTGGTAAATATCCAAGGATGTAGAACGGATTCAGGATGTATCCTGAGGCACCACTGTACTTTCATACTTGTTTATGCTGTGCAGCTGTTTCAATATCATGAATGGAATCCAATCCAGTATCCCCAGCCTCTCTTAACGAAGGCTATGTCAGGTTTTCTCTCATACATCCTTGTTTCCCCCAATCCATTTGTTTCCAATTTCAGTGCCTGTTTGGCGATTCTCTGCTTGCTTCTCCCCAGGATGTGCCCAGTATATCATTCGAGGGCAGTTTGAAAAGAAGTGAACAAAAGTCGTATTTCAATGAGATAATTTACACAATATACACACGAAATGTACATTTTCTGAAAGCTTGGGATGATTTTTCCCGAAGCCAGGAAAACACACCAGCTGCCAGATCCTTGTCAGAAGCATGTCTCTTCCCTTGAAATATTCCTTGAGCTTTGTCAACAGGAACCATTTATAGGGTGTCAGCTCGTGACTATAAGCTGGAGGCTCCAAAATGTCAATGATGAGGTGCTCCAATACAGCAACTGTTTGTCTACTCGTGTGTGGACGAGCATTGTCATGTTGAAGAACTGTATGTTTGCCAGGACGATCACGCTGTTATCTTACATGTAGTCTCTCTCTCTCTCTCTCTCTCTCTCTCTCTCTCTCTCTCTCTCTCTCTCTCTCTCTCTCTCTCTCTCTCTCTCTCTCTCTCTATCTATCTATCTATCTCTCTCTCTTGTTGTACCCCACCGGGACATAACACAAGCGATAAACACCCGGTGACACAAAGTGCCACCATGCGAATAAGGATCACTCGTGGAGAGGTCTCAAAAACCCCTTTCAGCCGTAAGCCGATATTAATGGCCCGGCTATAGTCAGAGTCTCCGGCAAAAATCCAAGGTGGGGTTCCAAAAAACAAAAATTTGCCTCCCACACAGGGAAGACTATTATGTAGACTACTCGCAGTTTCCGCAGCATTTCTGCATAGCCATCAGATTTGATTGTATCGCCGTGGTTTAACAATTCTGCTAACCTACGCCCTGGCAAACACGAATCAACGCAAACCCTGGACAACTTTTCTTTATGGGCATTTTTGTTTTTGTTTTCTTTAATCAGTATTTTTTTTAAAATAACCTTAAGGGGAAATTTGGGGTGGGGGGGGGGGCGCAGGTGTCTTGCAATATTTTTAAGGGGGCATCACTTGAAAAGGATAAAATTCACTGGTCTTAGCCACTACGCTCCTGGCACCCAAGCGCTAGAGTGGCAACATCATCTCAACCTGTAGTTACAATCCCTCATTACCCGACCAGTTTAACTCACTTGCCCTGTCATCAGAAAGCTCACCCACACAGTCTGTTACAGTATTCTGACCGGCCATCAGTGGTGAGGCGACATCCTCAGTCTGAACTTGCCGCCAAGTCCCTTTGGCATGACGCGAACAATTTATATCTGGAAGTCTGTCCCGTGGCTAGCTACTGTCCGGGATGTTTAACTTACCAACTGTCTGTAGCAGTGGTTTTTGACATCGTTCAGGTGGCGCTCCCCCCCCCCACCCCCCCCCTCCCTGACTATATGACAAGAACCCTTACACCCCGACGCCCCTAGCCCGACTTTAAAAAAATATAGTTATACGTGCTAAAATCCGAAGCCTTTGGCACAATGTGGGATGTCCGGTTTGGTATACATCGCCTGAAATTAACAGAAGACAGGTAGCACCGGCTACTGGTATATGGTATTTGAAGTATCTCAGTCATATCTTACCAAGGCCTGATCTAGCGGCATCACTTGAAGAAAATCAAAATACGTTTTGGAACAAAACATACATAACTTACTCATATTTGCTCATCATAACTGTCTTCCCCCCCCCCCCTCCCTTCCCCCTTTCATCCTCCTCCTCTCCGCTTCTCTCTCCGACAGACGTATGTTTCCGACCCTGAAGGTGACCCTAGAAGGCCTTGACCCACACGCCAAGTACATCCTGTTGGTGGACATCGTACCGGTCGACGACTGCCGCTACAAGTACCACAACGCAGAGTGGGTGGTCACCGGCAAAGCCGAGCCGCACATGCCGGGCCGGCTGTATATCCACCCGGATTCACCGGCATCGGGTGGGCACTGGATGAAGCAGCCGGTGACCTTCCACAAGCTGAAGTTGACCAACAACAACCTCGACCAGAATGGACATGTGAGTATAGCTCATTGACAGTTAAAACTTCTTACTGTCCGAATGTATTGTCTCTCTTTCTTCCCTCTCTTTTCTGTTTTTCCTCTTAAAGGTCTGGCAGAGATTGGCAGACCAACAGGACCTGTTTATGTTTATTCGACGGATTACCATCATGGCACACGGGTGTAACCGATAAGTGCTCCGTTCTACTTCTAACTCAAGCCTGAGTCAGAAGAATCTCAGCGCAGTGCACGAACTCGGTGGCACTGGCAAGCATCCTGAAATACTCTGGGTAGATTTTTAACTCCAAATGTTTTCCCGGGCAGGGCTATTACACAACTCTTTTCGATTTCCAACTGCCAAGGGATTTTTCATCTGCTCATGAATGCACACACGGGCGTCTGATCCTACTACCCAGTTATTCTTTCAGGTAGACCGTGATAAGAGCGACGTTCTGCAAAGGATCTGCTGCTTGATAATGATATTTATTTTACTGGCACTTCAACAAAATTGGCGTTAAAGCATAAACACAGATTAGACGGCCCAGTAAGAAATGAGAACGAACTTCTGATATAGCAGTTTGGTGCCCCTAGGTTCCCCCCCCCCCCCACCCCCTTTTCCCCCAGGGAAGTGCCCAGTGGGTCCATGCGTTAAAAATGCCCTGTAAAGAAACTAGGGGAAGTATCTTCTCTAACAACACAAAACAATGGCTAGGTTCCCTTTATCTCGACTGAGCAGAACCTATTTCTTCATAGCCGCTATCTCGAAGGAGAGAACATTGTTCCTTCTTCAATTCCCTCCAGATCTCCTATCGTCGCTACTCACTTTCTGTTTTCATGCGCGCATTATGAATATTAATTCAGTTCGCGTGAGCTCGCAAAGTTATCAGCCGACGTTGATTCAACGGGAAGTGCGTCCTGTGCTGCTTTGCATGTCGGGTAACATGAGCGGTCGTTTTGGCAGGATCCCTGAGGGTTTGGCACCAAGAAGCAGCTCCTAAAACAAAAAAGCTATGGGGAATTTTCCGCCTATGAAGCCAGTTTGTCGTGTCCGTCAAAGTGGATGGTGTTTTAACAGTGGAATGTCCGGGGTTAGAGCTATTCAAGTGGAGGTTTGTGGGCTGAATCTATTGTTATCAACAGTTCATGGAAACAATCTGCTGAGATACCTTGGGGTTGCTGCTGTATTGTAGCACTGACCACGCATCGAAATGCACAATGTGCAGTGAGCCGACTGTGATAACACAACTCATTTAACACAGAAGAGTTATACGATTTAAGTTCAGAACCACCCACTCCAGGTTCCCTAGATGCTAACACTGTGGGTGTTAAAGGTCGAAAAATCTTTCTAGACCACGCAAGGAAACCATTATGAAATGGGTACATGTAACGAACTCAGGCCCAGCTCTGCCCATCTACACACTGATTATTGACGGAGTCCGGAAAGAACACTGATTAGACGTTCAATATCCGCCTTAACCTGTGAGACGCGCAGGTGTGAGTGGTAGGGACGTCAGCTTTGTCGACGCCCCAACCGGCGACCACGCGTGCACTATATTACAGGATGTAAGCGCCTTTAACGACCCCACAACATGTATGACTGGCCCTAACCCCAACCCCTCTTTCCATACACTAAACCTTGATGCCACGTGAGAGTGCAATCTACAGCAGTACACCGGGACATCCCTGTAACCTTCAGCAACGTGTACCAGCCTGACAAAGTATCAAGGAAACGGGACCTAGTGTGTAGATGGGCAGAGCTAGAATTGAGTTCGTTACTTGTTTCATCAAATGTTACGACCAGCAAAGTTATAGCAAGTGGCCAGCTGATCCCTGCCATTTGTATTGTAATAATTTCTCTGCAAGTGCTTGGGACACTGGCCGGCGACGATCCCCATTTTCAACACGTTGGTCCCTGTGTAAGTTTAGTCGAATAACCAAGTCACAGATTATCCTTCAGAGTACGTGATGATATTTCAGTAAGTAATATTACAGTTGAATGTTCTCGGAAGGCATTTTCCTGGAGAAGGGGTGGTTCCCCGGCAGAATGCACCACTGCCGATTGCGATAACATAAATTACTTACCATAGAGGGGTTACACAATATATGCTGAGAACCACCCACTCATCGACGTACCCGAGAAGATACACTGCGGGTGTTAAAGATCGATTAATCTTTTCCGACCACCCACCGAAACCCCAATCAAATGTTACATGCACCCTTTCCCCCCGCCCTACCATCTTTTTCTTCCCCTATCTCATCAAAATTGGCGCCCTTATTTCTATGCATTTCCACTCCTCATTTCAACACTCGGCCTTTCTCTCGGCTTAAGACGTTTTCTCTCGCCTACAACCTGGTTTCAACGTAAGAAAGACGCTATAAAATCCTCCAGAAAAGGGTACACCTAGCTGGCTGCAGGGCTCTAGTCTTGTGATTAGCTTCCCCGGCGTAAAAGCTCATAAACAGCTAATTATACTTCTGAAGCGTCTCGCTAGAGCCCAGGCCGAATGTCGCACGGAGTCACCAAGGACAAGCCGAGGGCCAATTTACGAGGTCTCTCTGCACCTCCTGAATGGCCTGCTCTGGTGGTTTATGTCATGGAAGCCACCGATCTTCTTGCTCGTGTATCAGGCGTCTCTATGACCCGAGTGCTTTACGTGCCACGGTTTTCTGTCCCCTTTCCCACCAAGATTCGATACCACTACTGTCAGTTACTCCATTAACTCCTTCAGTACCGCTGATGCTGGATTGTTGGCATGTTTCCTTCTTTGCAGACGATAGTCTTCCACTGTGCTATGGGAACTCGTAAGGATCACAGCCCACGGCTATGGGGAGTGTGACTAGTAAGGCAAGGGAAAACAAACAGATAGAGAACTCCTGTGGCCGTAGAAACGGTATATATATATATATAAACTGATCGACAGATATTGATTAGCAAGACCAGTTGGCGTTAAGAAAAATCTCAAGCTGCATAGTCTCGAGACACGGGGTCCGCCTCGAGTGCTAGAGGTTCTGGGTTCAATCCCCGGTAAGAGTTGGGATTTTCGCACGTGGACTTGGACTTCTATTATTCCCCCTGGTCTCTGGGTAGTGAGATCAGACGCCCGTTGTCACGCACGTAAAAAAAAAAATCCCTTAGAAGTTGAAAATCGAAAAGAGTTGCCCGACGCCGGGCAATATTTGGAGTTAAAAATCTACCCAAAGTATTTCAGGATCTTCGCTGGTGCTACAGAGCCTGTGCACTGTGCTGAGCTTCTTCGGACTCGGACTTGAGTTAGAAGGAGGAGGAAGCCCTTATCGGCTACTACCCGTGAGACATGATGTTGATTTGTTGTTCAAAACCTCAAAGCTCCCGCAATAAGTGCATGCAATTTCAGGATTATGGTTGAGGCAACATTTATTTCACATGATTCGTCTTGGACGCCCAGGTCCTTACTGTGTACAGTCCTCTCCTCCGTAACCTTTATTCTTCATAAAACTTCACCACGACATCTTATATCATCCATTATTTGTAGATAACCAACCACAGAGGATGTCCTTAGAGACTATCCTTCATCCTCCCCAGCGTCTTAGCTATCTTAGCCTTTAAAGACTGAGCACCGACAGAACTGTAGTGATACCTCATCATCATCATCATCATCAGGTGCCTTGCCGACTGGCGTGGGCGATCATGCCTCTCCACACTCTGCGATCCCCTGCAGCATGTATCAGTTTGCGTGCCGACACACCTCCATGCCATGCAACACGACTGTCAAAAATCTTCTTTTGTTGTCTTCCTCTATCCCTCCTTCCACAGATCTTTCCAGTGGTCACAACATGTTCTATTTTCCGTCTTCTCAATGCATGGCCGAAAAATTATGACTGTCTTCTTCTGGTGTCAGTGATAAGTTGTCTTCGGGCTCCCGCCTCTTTCAAAACCTCTTGGTTGCTTTTTTTGGGTGTCTAAGTTATTCTTAGCATTCTCACATATTTGTCATGCCGCTGTATGCCATGTCTTCCTCATAGACATCGTTTTTTGAAAGCTACTTAACCATTCCTTTTGAAACCAGTCTCCTGCTTCTTTGTAATTACCGGTTTCAACTTCGGCGAAAAATCAATCAATCCTGATCGCGTACAGAGGCGCATAGGGCAGAGACAAACTGTTGCCATTCAATCCGATCCTGAGCCATCCACTCTGCCTCCACTTTTGGCCTTCGCCTAGCCTTGAGTTCAGCTACAAAGGTTCGCCTCCAAGTGCCTCTAGGTCTGTCACTTCCTCGCTGTCCTTGTGGTGTCCCACGCATTGCCCGACATCAGTTACCACACACCGGCCGGGCAAATGCTGATACTAGACGAAGTTTTGAAAATTGAAAATGAACAATCCGCTATTATGTAAACAGAAAGTGTGCATTATACATTTGATGTAAACTCTGGCAAAACGCGTGACTGTCGAAAAATTTGGAAGATTTAAATTTTAAAAATAATTTTGGAATCGGGGGAAAAAAAACCAGGATAATTTTGCAAATTTAGCATCGAGAGTCGGATTACAAATCAGCCACGAAAAGAATAAATTGACAATATCACTAACTGATAATGCGTCGTCATACTGGGTAGGGAAAGAATTAAGTTAACGAGTTATCGTATTTAGGTATCAAAAGTTAAACTCTGATTGTCCCTCGAAGTCGGAGTACATCTACCCGCGAGGCAGGGAACAGCACAACGGTTGTACACGCAAAACTCAGGTCCAGGTAAAAGCCAAAAGTCTAAGCGGACGATTAACCGGGACCTTCCGCCGGAATTCACACCCGGTGAACGAAGAAGAGGAAGAAACTCTGATGGAAATTGAGGAATTGAGGTTGGTGGGCATAACTTAAACAGCCTGCCTTATGCTGATGTCACCGACTTGACAGTGACCAGTCAGAAAGAGCTACATGAATTGATAGATGGTAGAAGGTGGTGGTAGAACGTGATAAAGTAAGTCTCAGCTTTAATTGTGAGAAGATTTCCAAGAAAATGAAAGTGCCTAAATGTATAATAGAAGTAAAGACGTTATTTTAGGACACAAATAGAAGTATCTGGGCTCATGGACAAGATCTGATTGAAGATGTATCACATAAGGATTGAAATAAGAGACATAGATGGACATTCGCTTATATCATCAGCTATAAGACAAAGACCTTGACATAATGTGCACATCGCAAACAGAAATGGACAGCGAATCGCCAAGCAGGTACTGAAATGGGAAACAAATGGACTGAGGAAACAAGGATGTCCAAAGCCAACTTTAAGACGAACGTTGACGAGAGAGGCCAAAGGTGCTGGACTGGATTCTATCCATGATATCGAATGGTCTGCACGGGGTAGAACTGTAATGGAGGACTAGTCCTCGAGCCCTATGTGACACATAACGGCTTAACATGATGATGATCAGTGTTATAAAGAATATAGAAAATCTTTTATAAAGGGCTAGAGCGTTGTTTCTGACAGACGAAGCCGTGCAGTAATATCCATTCTATTTCTCATTTCCGTATTCGCTATATGACTGGGTCGACATTTTCTGGGGTTAAAGAAGCTTTTCGTAATAAGTCAATGAAACAGTAACTGACTTCTGCATACCCACTGTTTCATTGACAGATCATTCTCAACTCTATGCACAAGTATCAGTCCCGCCTGCATGTGGTGCAGGCCAACGACATCTTCACCATGAGATGGAACACCTTCAACACCTACTCGTTCGAGCAGACCACCTTCATTGCCGTCACTGCCTACCAGAACGAGCAGGTAAGACTGTTAGCTGCTAACACCACTACTTCAGCTCTGGTTTTTACTGCTGCTACGCCTGTAACTATTGTTACGGTTGCTACTGCTATAACTATTGCTACTGCTAACTACCGTTACTACTGCAACTACTCTTGCTACTGCTAATACTTCTAAAATTGTTACTGATGCCACTACCACAGCTACTTTTAATGCTGATATTATCACTGCTGCTGCTCCAGTTGCTATCGCATAAAGACATTTTGAGATACAGATTGGTGTCCATCCAAGACAGTTAGAAGCTGCCTTATGTGTCTTCTTCTTTTTCTTAAAAAATAATATATTGCCTACATGTGTCAGATCGCCGGTCAGGGGCCCTCGCGGGAAGCAAATAATAGCGACACTGCACCCTACCAGGCATGTCGTAAGAGGCCACTAAGGGTAGGGCTGGGCTTGAGGTTGGCTACCTCATCCTGTAAAAACAATAGCCACAAAAACCAACCAAACATGGATAAATCAAAAAGAGAAGCAAGTAAAACCCAGCCAAACGAGATAAGGAGAGGCTCTTTAAGTAGCAGAAGTATGACAAGGGTGGAAAAAGCAGACAGGAGTCCGGATCGTTGACATGCCTCCTCTCTCGTGGGAAAGATGAGGAGGACATGGGGAGAACTGCATGAGATAGCAACGGATAGAACGACTTTGTGTGAGTTGGTTGAGGGCCTATGCTCCATTGAGGGTTAGAAAGGCAGAAGAAGAAGACATGTGTAAGGTAGTGTGGGGTGGGGGAGAGGGGGGGGGGGGGGATTTCAGACTATTTATGACTGTTTAAACCTGATGCTGGTACAGCTAAAAAGTCGTTTTTCTAAACCACAGGGAATAAAACAAAGGGAGGATGAAGTTGATGCAGAAGAAATTTATAGGCAGGGATAAATAACAAATAGAGGACAATAAAGGAGATATACATAATCAATCAGTCGGTTTGGTGTCCTAGAACTTGAGTTTAGAGTGCACATCCATTTTACAAATCTAGCTTATATGTGTGCAGACTACTGGTTCTTTTCCTGTCATACATGTACTCTCTGAATTCGAAGGAAATTCCCATAATTAGTCGACATTTGCGACATGCATGTTAAGATGCAGTGGGTCTTCCCCCCCCCCCCACACACACCATTTAGCATCCAAAAGGGGTCGTAAATTTCACAAAGGGACTTGATAATGATAAGAATAAGAACTGTCAAATGATCTGGTCATTTCGTTGGAGTGCAGCCGCAACACCTACCAGCACAGGCCCCACATCTAAGATCTCATTTGGGAGCAAGAGGACACCCAAGGAGAAGATTAATGACATTAGGACACTACATATTCCCAAGGAATGACGACTTCACCTATCCATCTGGTACGGTGTTCAAACAAAGTCAAAGTAAAATAAAAGTAAAGATCCCTTTTTAAGCCTTAAGTGCATACAATATATGGGAAGAGCATCCCATATTTTTACAGACCAACTAGCACTAGGTGGGTAATGTGGTCAGCATTACGCCAGCCGTCCTTACTTCCCCAGACAGTCATCCTGGTACCCATTTCAGGCTGGGTCCACCCACGACGCCCCATACCATGATAGAAACCCACGCAACCAGCAGTTGGTTTCGATCGCGGTATGTTGGAATTACAATCGGATGTTCAAAATACACCTTAGTGAATTGATAGAGTATAGAATGTTGATCTCTAAGAAATGACACCGGGACCTTTCAAAAAGCGCTACGTTCTCGGAAGAGTTCCCATTCCGATGTCGCTAGCAGTTTGATTATGTGCCCTTGATGCCTTTCCTCTGAGTGTAGAACAAACGAACGAACGAACGAACGAACTTTATTTTCAAAAGGTCACAAATTGGGCACGCAGGCCCGTCTTACATTCGGCCCTTCCAGTCAACCATCTTTCGCACAGCAGTTGTATTTTCACTAATAAAGCATGTTATGATCATATGATAATATGCATATTATGAATATTATAAAAGAACGCAAAAGCATGAGTTGTAAAGTACATGCAAAAACCCGCGCGTGCATACATACACACACATACACACGATCACCCACTCACACACACATACATGCATGCAAACATTACATACATACATACGTACATACATACAAACAAACATGCAAACAGGCATACACACAGGCACACATACATTTAAACAAACATACATAGATACAAACATACAGGCATACATGCATACATACATTCGTAATACAGGCATACACACATACAAACATACAGTCATAAATACAGTCATGCATGGAGACACTCCCACAAAGACACACACACTCACTTAGTCAAAAAACAGACACACACAGAGACTCTTACATATAAACACACAGTAGAGAATCGACCAGATCCCCTGCTCACTCCCAGCTGCACCATTATATCTTCTGGCCATAATGATCTATTCGTGCCTCTGCATTGTTCACTTGCTCCCAGAGGGCCTGGCCTGTCATGCAAATATTGACCATCCAATGGTACAGAATCAGCCACTATATCTGCTTGTTCCTTACCCAACACTCCTGCGTGCCCGGAAAAAAATCCAAAGAACTCTAACTACCCGAGACCTCTGAAGCAATGCTTGCCACTCTGCATGAAGCATGCATTTCTCCGCTTTTCATAAATATGCTTTGTGGTTAGGCTGCAAGCCGACGTATGTGTGCAGCTTTTATCAAAGAGTGGATCAGGAACCTTTAACATACGTCCTATGATGCGCGTAAGCAGAAAATCTATTAATGACATTAGAACAGTATAAATTCTAAAGGAATGACAGTGCCACACATCCAGCTGGCCGTCATGTTTCAAAAGTGTCCCACAACACATAATGAAAGCTGTGCTTTTATCTCATACCACAGATCACTCAGCTGAAGATTGATCACAATCCTTTTGCCAAAGGTTTCAGAGACAATGGTCTTGGAAGAAAGTAAGTGATACGCTCTGTTGAAACACTAACACTGTTCTGAAACGGTACTATTACATTTGCTGCTGCAGCCTCTGCTACAACTACCGCTACTAATTATACTGCTACTAACACTACTCTTAGTAATGCTACAAACAAATACTACTGCTATTAATGCTACACTTAGTAATGCTGCAAGTGCCACTAATTCTACTGCTGTTCTGCTGCCGCTGCTGCTGCCGCTGCTGATGCTGTTGCTGCTACTACTACTACTGCTACTACTACTACTACTACTACTGCTGCTGCTGCTGCTGCTGCTACTACTACTACTACTACTACTACTACTACTACTACTACTACTACTACTACTACTACTACTACTACTACTACTACTACTAATACTATTACTAATACTATTACTACTACTATTACTACTATTACTACTACTACTACTACTACTACTACTACTACTACTACTACTACTACTACTACTACTACTACTACTACTACTACTACTACTACTACTACTACTATTACAAATACTAGTGCAACTATTACTGCCAGTACTACGCTTGTCAATACTACTACTATAACAACTGCTGTCGTTGCTGCTGCTACTACTACAACTACGGTTACTGCTATTATCATAGCCACCACTGCTGCTACCACTACTTCAACTATGGTTATTACTGCACTATAACTATAACTAATGTTGCTGTTGCTACTGTTGCTAACTATTGTTACTGCTGCTACTACTACTGCAACAACCAATATTACTGTTCATTCCCCCAACACTTCTGCGGCCCCAGAGAAAAATAAAAAAAACTCAAACTACCCGAGACCTCTAAAGCAATGCTTGCCAATGAACAGTATTACTACTGTTGCTACTACTACTAATGCTACTACTACTGCGAATACTGTTACTGATGCTACGACGACAGCTAATGTTAATGTTGTTATTACTACTACCACTGCTGCTCCAGCTACTACTACTACCTATACAACTAATATTACAAAATAAGGGGAGAGAAAGATTTAAAAAACGGGATGAGAGATCGCAACAAACAGATGTCAAAACCAATAGGGGAAGACAAAGATGATGAGAATAACGTAAAAGAGGCAAACTTTGACCCAATCGCCGTTGGTGAACTCCCACTCCACGATATGGCGATATACTTATTTAGATCGGCGTCTGTGGCCTGGGCGTTGCGAGCGCATTTCGTAATGCCGGGATGCCAGGTTCGATCCCAACTGCGGACGATTTGTCTTTGGTTGGTTTCAACAGTGGTACCGAGAGCTGATGGTTCATTGGCAATGGTCAACTACTGAACGTAAAATTTGCCTAGCAAAACCACAACAGCTAAAAAATAGGCCCTGTTCACGTTTCCCGCCCCAACAACACACTACCTGACCTTTCATTCATACTTTTTCAGACTCTTCTACGTCGGAGGCGTGTCAGGATTTTTCCACTCCAATTACATCAGCGGTACAACGCGACCCACCCCCCCCCCCCCTCCCGCCTTCCCGACCTAGATCAGACTGAGAAAAGTGTGTAGATGGGCCGCGAAACATGAATAGGTCCAAAACTGGGTGTCTGGGACCTGCCTTATTGATCTACCCTCCAGATGAAGATTTTATAATCTGAGAACGGTAGGGCATAGGCAGCGTCGAGACCTGAAGGGGCCGGGGGAGAGGGGGGGGCAGATTTGTCCTCCATCGACCGAGATGCTAATAGAGGTTTCGTAGCACTAGACGATCTGTGGAGAAAATAGTAAGAAGAAGAAGAAAGAAGGAAGGTGAGCGAAGAGGTGGTTATGTATCTGGATGGATACACTGACTGGTGGATGGATACACTGACTGGTGGATGGATATACTGACTGGTGGATGGATACACTGACTGGTGGATGGATACATTGACTGATGGATGGATACACTGACTGATGGATGGATACACTGACTGATGGATGGATGGATACACTGACTGGTGGATGGATACACTGACTGGTGGATGGATACACTGACTGGTGGATGGATACATTGACTGGTGGATGGATACATTGACTGGTGGATGGATACACTGACTGGTGGATGGATACACTGACTGGTGGATGGATACACTGACTGGTGGATGGATACATTGACTGGTGGATGGATACATTGACTGATGGATGGATACATTGACTGGTGGATGGATACACTGACTGATGGATGGATACACTGACTGATGGATGGATACATTGACTGGTGGATGGATACATTGACTGATGGATGGATACACTGACTGATGGATGGATACATTGACTGGTGGATGGATACACTGACTGATGGATGGATACACTGACTGATGGATGGATACATTGACTGGTGGATGGATACACTGACTGATGGATGGATACACTGACTGGTGGATGGATACACTGACTGATGGATGGATACATTGACTGGTGGATGGATACGCTGACTAGTGGATGGATACAATGACTGGTGGATGGATACATTGACTGGTGGATGGATACACTGACTGGTGGATGGATACACTGACTGATGGATGGATACAATGACTGGTGGATGGATACAATGACTTGTGGATGGATACACTGACTGGTGGATGGATACATTGACTGGTTGATGGATACACTGACTGATGGATGGATACACTGACTGGTAGATGGATACACTGACTGGTGGATGGATACACTGACTGGTGGATGGATACACTGACTGGTGGATGGATACATTGACTGGTGGATGGATACACTGACTGGTGGATGGATACATCGACTGGTGGATGGATACACTGACTGGTGGATGGATACATTGACTGGTGGATGGATACACTGACTGGTGGATGGATACACTGACTGGTGGATGGATACACTGACTGGTGGATGGATACACTGACTGGTGGATGGATACACTGACTGGTGGATGGATACACTGACTGGTGGGTGGATACACTGACTGGTGGATGGATACACTGACTGGTGGATGGATACATTGACTGGTGGATGGATACAATGACTGGTGGATAGATACACTGACTGGTGGATGGATACATTGACTGGTGGATGGATACACTGACTGGTGGATGGATACATTGACTGGTGGATGGATACACTGACTGGTGGATTGATACACTGACTGGTGGATGGATACAATGACTGGTGGATGGATACACTGACTGGTGGATGGATACACTGACTGGTGGATGGATACAATGACTGGTGGATGGATACAATGACTGGTGGATGGATACATTGACTGATGGATGGATACATCGACTGGTGGATGGATACATTGACTGGTGGGTGGATACAATGACTGGTGGATGGATACAATGACTGGTGGATGGATACACTGACTGGTGGGTGGATACACTGACTGGTGGATGGATACAATGACTGGTGGATAGATACACTGACTGGTGGATGGATACACTGACTGGTGGATGGATACACTGACTGGTGGATGGATACATTGGACTGGTGGATGGATACATTGACTGGTGGATGGATACATTGACTGGTGGATGGATACATTGACTGGTGGATGGATACACTGACTGGTGGAAGGATACACTGACTGGTGGATGGATACAATGACTGGTGGATGGATACATTGACTGGTGGATGGATACACTGACTGGTGGATGGATACAATGACTGGTGGATGGATACACTGACTGGTGGAAGGATACACTGACTGGTGGATGGATACAATGACTGGTGGATGGATACATTGACTGGTGGATGGATACATTGACTGGTGGATGGATACACTGACTGGTGGGTGGATACACTGACTGGTGGATGGATACATTGACTGGTGGATGGATACATTGACTGGTGGATGGATACAATGACTGGTGGATGGATACATTGACTGATGGATGGATACACTGACTGGTAGATGGATACATTGACTGGTGGATGGATACATTGACTGGTAGATGGATACAATGACTGGTGGATGGATACATTGACTGATGGATGGATACACTGACTGGTGGATGGATACATTGACTGGTGGATAGATACATTGACTGGTGGATGGATACATTGACTGGTGGATGGATAAACTGACTGGTGGATGGATACATTGACTGGTGGATGGATACATTGACTGGTGGATGGATACACTGACTGGTGGATGGATACACTGACTGGTGGGTGGATACACTGACTGGTGGATGGATACATTGACTGGTGGATGGATACACTGACTGGTGGATGGATACATTGACTGGTGGATGGATACACTGACTGGTGGATGGATACACTGACTGGTGGATGGATACATCGACTGGTGGATGAATACACTGACTGGTGGATGGATACAATGACTGATGGATGGATACATTGACTGGTGGATGGATACACTGACTGGTGGATGGATACACTGACTGGTGGATGGGTACATCGACTGATGGATGGATACACTGACTGGTGGATGGATTCTTCGACTGGTGGATGGATACACTGACTGGTGGATGGATACATTGACTGGTGGATGGATACATTGACTGGTCGATGGATACATTGACTGATGGATGGATACACTGACTGGTGGATGGATTCATCGACTGGTGGATGGATACACTGACTGGTGGATGGATACACTGACTGGTGGATGGATACACTGACTGGTGGATGGATACATTGACTGGTGGATGGATACAATGACTGGTGGGTGGATAGACTGACTGGTGGGTTGATGGATACACTGACTGGTGGGTGGATACACTGACTTGTGGGTGAATACACCGACTCGGGGATAGAAACACTGACTGGTGTGAGCCTATGTGTATGTTAGTGTACAGAATAAACAAACAGCTAGAGAATCGAACCGAATCTCTAGAGGTGTGGATATACAGACCAATAGTTCGTATTCCGGAAAGAAAAGGGAAGGGGGCGGGGAGGGGAGCAATGTGTACATAGTTTTTTTTTTTTTGTTAATGTTATGAACAAGGTTCTAACAAGGTTCTAACATAAGTTCCGAAAAGATTTGAACGAAATGAAAGTTGTTAAATAAAAATTACAGAGAAACGGTTGAGATATTTTAGCAACATTAAAAGACATAACACTCGTTAAGACAGAAAAAAAAAAAAAACATACATCATGCAAAGTAGAAGGCAACAAAGCAAGAGGTTGACATAGATACAATCGGAAGGACAACATCAAGAGATGAACGAACAGCAGTAAGAGGATGTACTGTCAACACAAGAGATACAGAGTGTTTATGATCCACTGTAGCCTACTTTCATTGTGGAGACGGCCATCTGAATGGCTTAAATCTGTGTTTGCCAGAACAGTATATGTGTGAGTGGGAGGACAGAGTATGTTGGAGTTTGTGGCTCCCCTCCAAATGATGGATCTGAACGATCGCGTTTAAAACTTAATTTACCCTAACAGAGCCTCAATAGCTAATCGACTAGAAACATTTAAAATGTGGGAACACAAATTAAAGATCAGGAACATTTTCACCTACTCACCAAAGACTCGCTAATGTGTGTCGGAGCTGATCGTCTGCAGCTGCTGCTGCCTGCCTAAGAAGTATTGGTATATTTGCGCCGGAAATTAACCGCCCGCCCCTGCTGTATTCACCTGAAAGACATCCTAATTTTACACCCCATTGAGGCCCTGTTAGGGTAGTTGTTTATAAGGTAACAGAAAATGTATTGATCGGCACTCGTAGAAAGAAGTAGAAAGATAGAAAAACACAACAGACAACATAAAAATCGAAAGCTCTAGTTACCGTGCCAGGAATAGAACCTGTCACCTCCATACGGCGTGTGCGCCTCGCCATGGAAACAAGTGCACTAAGAACATGGTCAACTAGGCACCCCCAAAATTGTGTCTTTTTGGCCATGTCTATCGTACAGCTTGTTAATTTATGTGGAATATGTTTGGACACGATCATTTGGACCCATCATTGGGAGAAGAGTCGAGTGTGTATACTGGTATTTGTTGTCCCCCATTTATGAATACAATGTAATTCTGACCAACTACTTGTATTTCAAGAGACCATCGATTGCCTTTGAAACGGCCACCAGACGGAGATGTGGATCAACATAAAGGTGAGTCAAATATGCCCAGATTTTTGTTCTTTTTCCTCCCAGAACTGATATTGTTTTCCAGGCGGTTCCAGCCTTGAAATGGGTACCAGGTAAAGTCCTGGGAAGTAAAAGCGGCCGGCTTGATGTTGACCATAAAACTCACAAAGTGCCGATTAGCCTATACTGTGTACTGGCGGTCCGCGGGCTAAATCCGGTCCGCGGAAGCCTAGCATGTGGCCCTGCAGATCATTGATCTTTCTGTGCTGGGGTTCCGTCCTCCCACCTGTGACAATCTCTATTGTCCAATCTTAGGCCCCTGGGTAAACTTAGTTGAGCAGCCCTGCTCTATACAATATAGGTCTAGCCCAATTTACCCAGTACGCCTGGAGGCGCTGAAAGGGGTCCGTTACTTAACAAAAATGTGCCCAATGTTTCCATTGTCTTCTCTACAGTCTTCTTCTTCTTCTTCTTCTTCTTCTTCTTCTTCTTCTTCTTCTTCTTCTTCTTCTTCTTCTTCTTCTTCTTCTTCTTCTTCTTCTTCTTCTTCTTCTTCTTTTTTGGGTTATTTTTCACTCTTTCTTTCTCTTTGTCTGTCTCTTTATTAATTCTTCTTCCTCCTCTTCTCCTTCTGCTTCTAGTACTATAACTTCTATTATTACTACTGCTGCTGCTGCTACTACTACTACTACAACTATTACTACTACTACTGCTGCTACTAGTACTACCAGTACTACTACTACTACTACTGCTGCTGCTGCTGCTGCTGCTGCTGCTGCTACTACTACTACTACTACTACTACTACTACTGCTGCTACTACTACTATTCTACTAATAATACATGCAATTTATTACGTAAACCCATGTGGATCGTCGCCTGAGCTACGGAGTTCGTGCTTATTGTGCAGCAACAACAACAACAACAACAACTACTACTACTACTATTACAACTACTACTACTACTACTACTACTACTACTACTACTACTACTAATACTACTGCTGCTGCTGCTGCTGCTGCTGCTACTACTACTACTACTACCACTGCTGCTACTATTACTACTACCACCACCACCACTACTACTATTCTACTAATAATACATGCAATTTATTACGTAAACCCATGTGAATCGTCGCCTGAGCTATGGAGTTCGTGCTTATTGTGTAGGAAGCTCTCGACGGTCACTTTTAAGAAAAGGGAAAAAAAACATAGCGTGACAGCTGGGTACATTTATGGAAAGAAAGACGGGGGAAGACACAGCACTAGTTGCAGTATCCTTCACAGCCCGTCGACACCCACCCCCTAGCATGTGTTAGCTGTCTGTTGTTTTTCACCGGGTTTACAGTCAGTAGTTTGCCATTGCTTTCTGAACAATTAGAGGCAGACTGGTGGGTGTTTTGCATGTATATAAGTGTACAGAATGAACAAGCAGATAGAAAACTGAGTCTCTTGAGGCCAGGGCTGGATTTAGATAGACTCGATGAGTCCCTGTTAACGCTGCCCATCAATCAATGGTTCGCAAACTGTTACTCCCCACACTACTTAACGGCAAAAATGAAAACTGATGATGATGATGATGATGAAGAAGATGATGATGATGATGAGGCCTAATCTATATAAAAGCTAAGATAGATTCAGTGAGGCTCTGCCAATGACGCCCATGAAGCAATGGATCATAAACTGTCCCTCCCCACAACGCTTATCGGCAGAAGTGGAAACTGATGGTGATGATGAGGCTTAAGCTATATAAAACCTGGAAGCTCCTCCTACTGTCTCAAATTACACCAGCTGACCTTAGAACACTTTAACATATTTACGATTTTTAAACATATGAATAACTGGAAATATATTGTTTAACTTTTATTTATTAACGGAAATAATAAAGCATATGCGTGCAAAATCACAGATATTTTAAATTTTCTTCAGCACAGTGGGTTCTTATCACTTTTCCCGACTAAAATACAACTGGTTCACCTTTTATTCATGCTTGCTCACCTGTCACACAGGCTAGTTTATGTTACAGGGGTCTTACGTTGTTTTGTCTCCGGTGATATACCAGCGTGTTCTATATTAGACGCACGACACCACAACATCTAGAACTGGACCTAACCCCAAACCCCTACCTCACAGCCTCAGCCTACCGCCCACGACGCAACATCGCCAGCCGGTGCTCCTAACAGCGGTAACACACAAAGGAGAAAGTATTGCGAGGTCAGAAATAAAACTGCTGACAGAAAAGTATGGCTATCTCTGTGGCAAACATCTATACCCCAAGGTAGAAGAGGAGCGACTAAGTTTGAGGTTTGAGGTTTTGAACAACGGATCAACATCATGGCACACGGGTAGTAACCCATAAGTGCTCCGTTCTTCTTCTAACTCAAGTCTGAGTCCAAAGAAGCTCAGCACAGTGCACAGGCTCTGTAGCATTGGCGAGGATCCTGAAATACTTTGGGTAGATTGTTAACTCCAAATTTTGCCCGGGCAAAGACCACCCTTTTCGATTTCCAACTGCCACGGGATTTTTTAAGTGCGCAACAATGCACACGGGCGACCGATCTCACTACCCAGAGATCAGGGAGAATTTCTAAAGCCCAAGTCCACGTAAAAAAATCCCAACTCTTACCGGGGATAGAACCCGGACTCCAGGCGGACACAATGCCTCGAGACCACGTAGTTACTAAGTAAGTGCAGATCGACATAACGCGTTCTGCAGCGGCTGACTTGATCAAATAAAGACAGAGATTCACGTTCTCTACAGTTAAATGCAAACATTACAAGAAAAACCTAGCAAGATATTAGCAACACTACACGCTGGAATATAACCACAGATATCCACAATAGACATGTAATATAATCCTGTCTTCTTCTTAGCTTTCACTGGCTGAGAGTTCTTGTTGTTCCACTTTTTGACTTTAGTCATTCTAGACCACGTGATCAGTTATGTTAGTTAGTCGACAGATAATCCTCATTGCACATCGAACCAGTCAGTCTATAAGTGCTCGGACTCCTCCTTAGTAAACCTCGCAGCGTGTAGCGGCTTGCAACACCAGTTCTATGTTGGTTTCTTATTCTTCTTTGGCTTCCCGCATATTGCTCTTGTCTGGCCACACTCCTTTTAACATGTTCTTCGTACAGTCTGGTCATGTTTGCAGATTCAGTTATCACTTGGTTCTCACAAACGTCTCACTTCTCGTAAAGCATTCAGAATATCAGCATGGTCCATGGCTTGTCCTTCCTCCACAGTAACTTCACCTGCAAGCCGATCAGCTTGCTCATTTTCTTGCACACCTGCATACCCTGGTACAAATATGCAACAAATATATGTCAGCCCGGACCGCTTTAGAGACTCCAGCCACTGTCTACGGACCCAGCCCTGTGGAGATATATCTTCCTGGGCATACTCACTGAGTCACTGGGACAGCATGCACAGGAAAAGGTCTGTGTTTCCAGCCATGATCAGTTATATGGTCGGCACCATGCTGCCCACGTTTACTTCTCGTCACATTTCCCCACCCCCAGCTTAGGCTGGGTCGACTTGGGAGCCACTATTACTACAGATAAATCCTTACCAATGACGGACAAAGGCCTCCATAGCGAACTGGTCAAGCCGTTCGCTTCGCTCTCTCGACTTCGTGGGTTCCATTGACTGCTGCCTAGTTCAGTTGACGACGGCAGTTTTCTGCTGAGATCCCTTGATCGTCACCAGAGCTATGGAGTTCGTGCTTTGTGCAAAGCTTTCGGCAGGCGGCAAAATGATCTGCTTAGAGAGGCCTAGCCATTTGGGAGCAAACCCCGTGCAATGACCTCACTAATGTGGATTAAAACCCAAGGGTTCTGGGAATGCACCAAAACGGACAGGAAACGGTACCAAAACACACCAAAAGGTATCACTGTTAAAACGTCCTTAATACGCACACGCACGCACACATATACCTATATATATATATTTATGTGTGTGTGTGTGTGTGTGTGTGTAGAAACTCACTGTGTCTTTGGTGACAACTGAAATTGTTTTGTCCGTTACATTTTTCTGGACCAATTTGTATAGGCTCTGTTTGTTGCAAACGGTGCAATAATTGTTTTGGAGCAATAATTTTCAACTCATCGATGCATTTATAGTTGAACTGAAAAAAAGAGTGATTTTTTTCAAATTCCAATATTGTTTGTTAATCAGGTAAAACATTCTTTTCTGCAGCTGCAGAGGAAAGATGCAATGCCAAAAGACTAAGCATAATTTGTAATACTAATGGACAGCAATTCTCATTCCTTATTATTCGTTTGAAATTGAAAATGAAATTTTTTTTTTATTTCTGTGCTTTTCAGCATTTGGTGGTTGATCTTGTACTATCAGTTCCCTCCATTCTTTATTCATTTGTTTGTAGTGTTGTTTTTTCACAATGATAGGAAAGTTCATACTTACTTTCAATATACAATCATAACACAATAACAAAATTTAAAATATCAATGCAAAATTTCTGAAACGTACCAAGCCTGGTTTCAAACGTACAGTTTTTCTCGGCAAGGGTCAAATAGTACCAAATTTGTACGAAAGTACCAACTTCGGCAACCTTGCTCGACAGAAAACATTAGCCACTGCGCGACCAAGCCTGCCACAACACCCTGCAGAAGAACAATATTGCCTCTAATGTGCCTTTTGCTGGCGATGATTGTCCGGCGGGTGGCCACAATGGCCAGATGTTTATATAATTCCGTGCTGCCCTGTAATTCAATTGAGCAGAAAAGCATAGGTGTGAAAACGAACTCCACGGAGACACGCCACCATGCTTGGACTAATTTCGAGAGTCCATTAATATTTCAGAGAAAAGCGACAAGCTCAATCGTCTACGACCCACTGTCTGTTGGGGCCAACGCCCCAGGGATAAGAACTATCTCGGCTTCAAGCAAGCCCACATCGACGCGTTTTAAATTCCCAGTGAAAGCCAAATGTGTGGTTTTTACACGCCAATGTGGCACAAAAACCGCAGCTTAAATTACTTACTGCAGCCATTTAAAAGTATTAGTTA